TTCTGTGTCTGGGCAAAGCCTTCATGCGTATATAATTGAGGAAAAAACTAAATTAATGGTCCAGCATCACTTGATTTGAATTGGCTTAACAATCACAATTTTGGAAGTCACACAATTGGACAATACATTATCAGCCTTCCTTTACCTGTGATGTTGATATAATACATCTGATGTGTGAGTTGTGATGAACTCAAGTTCAAAGACTTGAAGGCCACTCTTGCTGAAAACACTGACTCTTCACCTGGACCTGCAGATGTATTATGTGTAACTGGAACTGGATGAAAAAGGCTTTACATCTCTGCCTTCATATTGTGTCTGACTCCTTTGGTCAGATGTGTACTCAGATCTTCATGTAGACACATCAATCATTTGAAAAATGCTTTGTCTGGAACTATAATACTGATTTACTCTGACCTAGACTTGCCTAACTTCTCTCCTTAAGGCAAAGACACACTTATCAGCTGCCAGACCATGAAAGGAAACAAAAAGAGATGGCACTCAAGTTTCTGGATGAGCCGTGCCTATTCCCAGAAGAGACACGACTAGTCCTTCCTTTCAGTAGCTGGTTTATCTCCCTCATTATTCCTGCCTTATGCCTGTGACTGCTCAACCCCTTAGGGTTGAGAACTTGTTTTACAAGCAAAGCTCCTATTTCTCTACTCTTTTGCCCCTGAATGAGCCTTTCTTTCCCAGCATTCATCTTTTAGGCATTGGTTTTTTGGTGGGATGAGATTCCTAACCTGAGTTTGGTAACAGATTTGAATAAGCCCCATGCTCTGATGTTATACCTGTGGTCACCAATGCCAACAAACTCTGTTCTACCCTGGGTCCACAGCCCCAAGATCAGCACACAGTAGATTGGAACCACGACCATTGCTGTTATGAGCTTCCTATTGAGAAGCTCATGAGGTGGACTCACGGCCCAAGAAGATTTCAACCAACCACAGGTGATGTAAATGATATAGCAGTTCGATAGACTGTGGCTATCTATCTTGCCCTGAAACTGGAGCTGTTCCAGAGGCTCCATCCACAGCATGCCTAGGAGTGGGGCTGTTAGGATCTGCCCACTATTAGATTTACCAACTCAGAGATGAGTTTCAGGGAAAATTCTTGTGCTTACTACAATGTCCTATTCCCCAGGAAATAGGTCTCTCATAACTCTATGCTGCCTAGAGTTGGTGTAGTGTTGGTGAAAGGAGTCCCTTGGCCACCTATGCTGATGCTAAGCTGGGTCATACCTGAGTCTCACAACCAAAAGGACCTGCAGTCTTCAGAGTATATTAGGGCCCATGACTCAGTGATGAAGCAGACCAAACTAAAGTCTGTGCAATAGGGGTGCAGAACTGTGATTTGTGCCTGGACAGTTCCAGAGACCTGTCTGTAAACCCTGGCCTGGCAATAGCTGTGCTGGCTGAGGCTGGGGGATAAGTGGTAGAAAAGTCATTCTACCAGCAAGGCTGGTGCTAAATTGGGTCATGCTTGCATTTCACAGCTGAAGTGGCTTGCAAACACCAGAGCAGGCGAGATGTGCTTCAGTCCCACTCCAATGCTGCAACTCACATGGCCAAAATGATGGTCTGTCCCACAGAGATCTGTGCACAGATCTCTGCCTGGAGCTACAGCTAGTCAAAGGCCTTCTCTATGATTTCTGCCCTGTAAATAGAGGTTTGATTTTTACTATGGGCTTGGTTTCACTGCAGCAGTCCTAGTTTTGAGCTCCAATGCAATGTCCTATGCTAGTATTTTTGTCCTGCTTCCTGCTATGCCCCCAAAGTGGAAGGAGAGAAGGCAGAGGTAGTATCTTTGCTGCTGTCTGTTCTCAGTCCATGGGCTCAGACTGTAGATATTAGCCTATCTGTAGTAGTCATGGGGCTTTGCCCTGCACTTGATTTCAATGTGGTGGGCCTTGAGACTAGATTTCAAGTGTAGAGTCTGCTCCTGATTCTTTCTCCATCCCCAAAGCAGAAGGCTACCTCTCCAAATTGGGCTGCTTGGGGTTGAGGAAGGAGTGACACAGGTAACTTTCCTTCCTGCTTTCTTCAATGTGTCTTTTCAAACAGGCACTCTAATCTCTCACCTGATTTTCTTAGCTCTTGTGAGGATAGTTTGGACAGCTGGTCAACTTGGTTTGTTTGTGGGGAGAGATTCTCAGAGAATCTTAGCTGCCATGTCGCTCTGCCATTTTTATGAGTATTATTTTTTCTGCCATTTAAAAATGTTACTTATGAATTGAGTTTTTCAGAAGAGGATTACTTAGATCAAAGATCAAGCTCTTTTTACATTACTCAGTGCATGCTCAAAGTCCCGCTTTCCTAAAGAAGCACACCAGTCCGGATTCATCATAAGTGGAAATGCCGTACTTCACAGACATGCCAGCTTTCCATCATTGTAAAAATGGAACTATGTAGTCACTTTCTCACTGTAAAACAAGCAATTTATATTTATAAACAAGGTGTCTTGGTATTAGTGACCAATTGTATCCAAATAGGTTTTCAAAGTTCAAGAACATTTAAAACCAGACACTACAGTTGCAAGCACACCTCTCAGTCACTTAAAGCTTCTCACCCAGTGCTACTCCTGGGTAAATATTTATTCCTAACATTATTTGTTTTGCCAAGATCTAAAATGTCACATCTCATATTCCCAATAGTAATCACTCACAGAATTAAAAGCTTAAACAACCAAAAAACATCATTCTTTCTATAAAGTGTTCTTTGAAGAAAGAGAAATTAAAAGATGTGAACATCTTGAACAACTGTTGTTGAAAAACAGAAATTTCATGATATCATGCTTACTATATAAAATGCCTGGCTCACGGAACCAAACATACAAAGCTGCAGCATTTGAGTACCAATCTTGAGAAGGCTGGCCAGGTTAAAATATTGCACGGCTCTGTGTCTCTGCTTAGCTAACACATGCTGAGGATCTGCTTGCTTTTGAGCTGATACATTTTCTCAATGTCTGACAGGGCCTGAGCCCGCAGCTGGGCAGCATGAAGCCTCTTCTTCAGGTCCTTGCACTTGGACTTGGAGGCGTACTGATGCTCCAAAGTCTCACTGCTCACGATGCTCTCTTTACTGTCCCCACTAAAACCAACTTTCTTCTTAACTATTGGAAGACCAAGAAGTTCTGGACCACCTGCCAGAGACAGGAACTTCTTTAGCAAGCTGTAGTTCTTCACCAGGCTTTCTGCTCTGGCCAATTTCACTTCTGCTTGTCTCTCTCGAACACAAAGTTCACGTGCAATTTAAGTTTTTATATAAAGTCCTCTTTTTATTAATTAATCAATATATTTATTTATTTGAAACAATCTTGGTCCTGTTCCATTACATCAAACCTGATGCAAAACTTCAGGGACCGGTAGGTTGTGTTTTCATTTTCATTGACTTCCAGGAACTTTTTAATTTCCTCTTTTATTTCATCGATGATCCATTCTTCATTAAGTAATGAGTTATTTAGTTTCCAGCTGTTTGCATGTTTTTTGTCTTTACTTTTGTTGTTGAGTTCTACTTTTACTGCATTGTGATCAGATAGTATGCACAGTATTATTTCTATTTTCTTATATTTGCTGAGGCTTGCTTTGTGCCTAGAGAAAAGGTTAGATCAAAAAGAATTAACCTAGAAGGTAACACCCACGCACAGGAAATCAATGTGAGTCAACTCCCTGTATAGCTATCCTTATCTCAACCAGCAAAAACCCTTGTTCCTTCCTATTATTGCTTATACTCTCTCTACAACAAAATTAGAAATAAGGGCAAAATAGTTTCTGCTGGGTATTGGGGGAGGGGAGAGGGAGGGGGTGGAGTGGGTGGTAAGGGAGGGGGTGGGGGCAGGGGGGAGAAATGAACCAAGCCTTGTATGCACATATGAATAATAAAAGAAAAAGGAAAAAAAAAAAAACTTCAGGGACAAAACTACGTCTTCATCTGTAAATTTTCTAGTGTCCAGCAGAGGGCAGCACAATGACAGGCAATCCATGCTTTTTTTCAGGGTTCCTGGGCTGCTGGTGATAAGCTATTTCTATTTTGAACAGAATAGAAACCATAGCAAATAGACAAATTAAAAACCAATTCCAAAACTGTTGTAATTTTCTCCCTAACAGGTATAAATGGGGAAAGGGTACAATTCCTAACCTGAGAAGACTAAACTTGGTCCCAACCCAGTCAGTGTTGTGCTGATCTTGGGAGTCTATGGAGTCAGGTATAATAGAGGCTGGGGCTGGCAGGGATTTTTACCCGCAAGTGTTTGTATTTTCCTGTCAAGGAAGATGCCAGGCATTTTGGTAAGTGTTTGAAGAATGAATAGATTAATGGGTGGATAAACAGATGGTGATTAGAACCAGAGGCTGAGGAGAGATGAAATTGGTTTACTGAAAGGGTGTTCTTATCCAAATGTCCCTGTTCTGAAAAGTAGTGAGTCCCCTGATCCAAGTCATGTGTGACTGGAGGCCAGGCCACTTGGAAGGAATACTGCAAAGCTAATTTAGGCATCAGAAGGGGACTGGAAGAAGTGTAAGATTGCTTCCAAACTTGACAACCCAAAGCCCTCAGAAATACCAGCCCAGTGAAGCCAAGAAGTGTCTTAACTTCCACCTGAGCAGTTTTGGGGCTGTGAGATGCTCTAAAATTTTCAGCTTCTTGTGAGGACGGAGGGGCCAAAGCTTTGCCCTGCCTGAAGGCTTCCACCAGCTGTGGTTGTCTTTGGGAAGCTCAAGTGCACTGAGATTAAAGTCCATCAGAGAGAAACACTTACATAAGAAGTTGTGGGACCAGTTTGTGGCCATTTGTAATCAGAGATATGGGTACTGACTGTTCAGACAAAAGAGGGTAAACTTTGTGGGTGTGGGGTGGAGCTCCCAAGAGACACCCAGGGAGCTTGTTGGAAGAGGGAGAGATTTTTTTTTTTTTGTCATTTTAGATTATATAATTGGGCTTGATGGGCGGGATTTCAGGGGCAGGTCTCCAGCTCTGGCAGAATCAGTGCATTCCGTTGGAGAGCAGAACCTCACTGGTCTACAGAGCTGTTGTCTTTCTGCGATGTGGCTCTGTGCTCTGGTGTGGTCCTGTTTTGCTGCTTGCATGACTTGGGGTGAGTTCTGGAATTCAAATATTGGGGTGCACACTTGGAAAGCCTTGTCCTGGGCATAGGGAGGTGGAAATACATACAGAGGAAGGACAAAACAGGACTGGTATTCACCTTCTGGACTTCAGATTTGGACTGGGAAAGTCAAGCCATGCCAGCCTCAGCTTCACAGAGACACAGGGGATGATAAATACCATGAGATACCAGGTGCAGGCATCATGACTCAAACTGAGACAGTAAAAGAGCTCAGTTTGTTTCCTCCTGTGATTCTTAATGCAGACTTTGGCAGATCATGGAGAAAGGCATAGTAGAATATGAAAATCATCAACTCAGGAGCCAGAGTAGGGCTCTGAATCCTAGCTCAACACCTCTGAGCGGTATGACCCTAGGCAAGATACTGGTTTTTCTGTGCCTAGGTCACCTATCTCCAACATAGAGATGTCAATGATACTTTTCTCATTGGGCTGCAGTGAGGATGAATGGGTGGTTGTTTCTATAGCACTAGGATGGTGCCTGGTCTAGAGGGGGTGTTGAAAAGGAATGGATATAGGGGATTGATTTAAAATGGAGTTTATTGAGAGAAAATTTGATGTATGTAAAATCCAAACAGAGCCATGGGTCAGTAAAATATGATTTGTTATTCATAGTTCCCAAAAGGAGTGAGCACACCAGTTGGGGGGGTGCACAAGGGTAAATGCCAGGGCCAGTCAGGAGGCAGAGGCAGATGGGACTCTGGGGAGAAGAGCTTTTGTTGTGGTTTCCCCGGAAAGAAGAGAGGAGACAGGGTAGGCTGGCTTAGGGTTGGCTGGGTGGAATTATTTTAGTGGTCTTTGGATGTCCCTAGTTCTCTAGTGCCTGGCTCTGGGTGATTAGGGCAGATGGATAGTGGTCTAGGGTACAAATGCCTGATAAAAGAGATGGTTGGGGTGTGGGTCCTGGATTGGTTGGACCTGGGGAGCAATAGTTCCTCCGGAATCAGCAAAGTCTCTCAGTTGAAAGCATCAGATAAGGAAAATAGAATCCATGGTTATTATAGGAGTACAGCAAAGGATCTCAATGAACATCGGTGACATTTTATGGGGAAGAAACTGAAACTCACAGGATAATTGCTCAAGATCACCTGGAAAATCATGCACTGGTCTTTTTCTAGCTCCTAAATGTAGAGTCAGTGCTCAGCCATCAGTGACACAACAGCCCAGACCCCATTTGGATTTTGTCTTCTCACTGTAAAAAGCCTGGAACTGAGTGTGAGGCAGAGTAAGAAAGGACCTAAAGTAAGAGTGGAGCATTACTGTTGCTGGTTAACCCAGAAATGCCTCCTCACTTCCCTCTTTTAAAAAGTCCATACAGGTTGCTTGCAAATCTTGAATTTGCTCATCCAATCAGTGAACATATCTATAATTTCCTAGCAAGGCTAGAGAAGTCAATTCAAAGGCACTGGAATGCACACTTGGTATACAATATGGCTCAAGTGTGCACATTTGATATGATGTAAGTGGTGACTGTTGCATTCTTGTTTCTGCCTCTCACTATATCCAGTTACTTTTCTACCTACTTCTACCACTTCTGCCAACTTCATCTGGATGGAGGGCCATCACTGAGCAAATGCAGGATGCACCTAGTGATTTCTGCTCATACTTCACCTGTCTTACCCCTTTGAAGCACTCAGTACTCTTACCAGACCTCCCTTCCTTCTCCCTAGCTCTGTTGTGCTATGCCCTTTTTCTGTCACCACCCTGGTGGGTATTCTAGTCTCAGATATAGCTGTCCTTGTGTTTTATTCTCAAGCTCTTTCTTTTCCTTCTCTCTGATCCCTGCAGTGAAGTCAAACACATCCATGGTGTGTACCTCACCATCAGGAGGGTGACTCTACCTGCCTCCTCCTGGACCTTCATTTGGTCTTGAGTAACCCAGGTCCTGAGGCATCTTCCTGTCCAGATATCTCAGTCTTCCCCAAGGCATCACATACACTCTTCACATTTCTTCCTCTTTTATGCACCGCCCCCCCAATCTGGTCAGGGACCAAGTCATCTTCAAAATTTCTGATATGCATGTCCTTATTTCTTCATAAATTTGTTTCTAATTATAAAAAGTTTCTATGTTCAGTGCAGAAATCTTGGAATGCACAAAGAAAAAAAAAGCAACGTGCAATGCCACCACTCTCGTACACTTCAATGTACATGCTGCCCAGGATGCGCATGTTGGTGTCATTGGTAACTACCGGCAACAGCAACAAAAGGAAACACACATGGCATTTGTTCTTACTCAACATGAGGCAAGAATAGTTTTGTAACCTGGAATTGCATAAAGAGGTTCCAGTATTATTGGCTATTCTTGATACACAGATGGTTTAAGAATTATGATGAGGTCATGAACTTTCTAATAAACTGCTCATGTTGAAGTCAAAAACAGTTATGAGACAAAACATCTTAAATTGGAGACCACCTGTGCATTTCTCCTTTAAAGTTTATCTTGGTATTAGTCGTAGTCTTTGGTAACAACAACAAAAACAATGTAATATTTGCAGTATGGAATTGGCTATCTATACTGTGACATATGGAAACTGGATTCCCATAAATAGTTCCCAGTTTTGTTAACATTTTTTTCTGTGAAAACAAGTCTGGAATTTTATTTATTTTCTCCTACAGTTTGAGAGAAATATTGATATTGATAGAGATATTTCCACCCAAAGGAAGAAAGTGGAAGGGCAAGAGAATAGAAATTGTGTCCTAAAAAGGATTCTCTAACAAACTGAGACTATTGAGTTGAGGCAAGAGAAGACATCAGAGGTAGTCCTAACAAAGTATCTGAAAGCTCATCTGCCTCAGGAAGGAGGATCAGTTTGGTTCGCTCTGGTCCAATAGGTAGAAACTGCACTGGTCAGAAATCTGCAGGGAAATGAGGAATAGTATCTGTTTCACTAGAATAGAGCCAACGTGGCAGACTGGAACCTGACACCCAATCTCTCTCACCTCTGCATGACTCTACTCAGAACTATCAGAAGAATATTATAAAGGCTTATTGTATTCTTTAACCCAGAACTGTCCCTGCTGCTTAGTTGTCCTCTAAATTAAACCCAACCCGTAGCCTGGCATTTGAGGCCTCCTTGACACGGACCTGCTCATCCAGGATGATCTTCCACTCCCCATAGATTCCACTTGGTGGGATTCATTGGCCACTTGCCCTTTCCAGCCAAATCCTGTGTTTTGCTGTCTCTGAACTTCTGAACATCCCCTTTTCTCTGCTTTGTCCTCCTTCCCCTCTCATTCCCTCATTCAGTCCTCGTGCTACTGCAAATCCCAGCTCCTCCATGGTGACACTCCCTCCTCCAACTCCTGTAGCACCTTCCTAGTCTCTCTCCTAGGACACAGCCACCTTCTTCCAAGCGTTAGGTCAGATAGGTCTGGGGCTCCTTCTCCTACAAGGTCAGCTCTCTTGAGATTAGAGGCCACCTCTTGTTCATCCACTCATTCAGCAAGCAGCTCTGCACCAAGATCTTCATGGATAAATGTTCCAGACCCTTCTCCCAGGAAAACCAAGTGTTTGTTCACTCCCAGCATTTCTTGTGATTGTAGTGACTCTTGGATGGACACTTTTCTACTTACAATTCCAATTTAGTCCTTCTGTCAGCTCTGAGTTAAGAAGGACAGGTTTCCTCAATGGTGGTCTAGAAGGTTGAGGTGACTTATTCAAGGTCACATGTCTAGAAAGTGGCAAAATATACCTGAAATCCAGGTCTAACCTTTTCCCTCCGGTGTGACCTCATTTCCTCTCCTTGTTCAGCAGGACACCAAGTCCCACCACCTGTGGTAGACACTGTCCATGGCAAAGTCCTGGGGAAGTACGTAAGCTTACAAGGATTTGCACAGCCTGTGGCTGTTTTCCTGGGAGTCCCTTTTGCCAAGCCCCCTCTTGGATCCCTGAGGTTTTCTCCACCACAACCTGCGGAACCATGGAGTTATGTGAAGAACACCACCTCTTATCCTCCTATGTAAGTCTGTGCAGTTTACCTTAGCAGCTTTCAGTGAGGAGACTTGTCTCAGAGTGAAGTAGGCAATCCTCTGATTGCCTTATATTTTGATCTAGAATCCCCAAGAATATTGTAGAACCTGCAAATATTCTAGAACAATCATAGATTTCTAAAGTCCTTTAATTAGCACATATTTATTTAGCCCCTATTATGGGTGAGGAGTGTTCTAGCTTCTGAGAATACATTAGGCAAGAAAAGAATGACCACACCCTCATGGAGCTTTTATTAAAGCAAGGATAGAGAGATAATGAAGAATATGCAAATTAATAAAACAATTATAAGCTATGTTAGAATATGCTAACTGCTTTGGGATGAAACAGAGTATCAGGTGAGGGAGATGAAAAGTACAATGCTATTTGCTCTCCTGCCTTGAACCCTGGCATGGCTGGGCAATGGAGTGGGTGAGGATGCGTTGGATAAGGAGTATGATGAAAACTGAATTTGCAAGGTCTCCCTCCAGTGTGTCTAGCTTTCTAATCACAAGGAAAGCATTGGTTGGTGTGCCCCCAGTCACCCTGGTCAGTTGTGTGAATTTCAAGAACATAATAAACTTAATGAGCCAAATAAGAGATTTGGTAAACAAATTATAGCTCAATACCTAATTGAATGCAGCTACTGAATGTTGTATTTGCTGGCACTGAGTGATGTTGATATTATATGTATAAATGTCCAGGCAGTCATCCACACTGTATTTATAATCCATTTTCAAGGAGGAAGTATAAGAGAGAAAACTGTAAAACAAGATCTCAAGTGATAACAGCAATTCTCTATGGGTATTCGATACGTAACTATCACACTTACCTTGAGAGAAAAACAGTGAGTGATATTTTTTAAAGGAAAGGAAGAAAAGTAGCTAGAGCAGGATCTTTGAAATCCTTAGAAGTGCCTGTCTGAGCTGACACTTGTGGGTGTCTGAGGTGCTCTGGGGATGGCTGCGAGGCCATCTGGAGACACTGGGCTAACTGGCCAGGGTGAGTAGGCACACCAACCAATGCTTACCTCTTATCTAGAAAGCTAGACACACTGGGAAGGAGATCTTGCAAATTCAGCTCCCATAATAACCCTCACTCAACACATTCTCACCCACCTCACTCTCTAGCCATGCCAAGGTTCAAGGATTTTTATGTTCTTGACATTGTTGTAACTAAATCATTATATACATTTATGAATACTTTAGGATAACATCCACAAAATGACATTTCTGAGTCAGAGAGCATGTACTTAGGGTTAAATTTCCCTCAGAAACATCCCAACAGTGTACACTTCTTCCATAAAACCTCCATTCATCAGTACCTTGCTAGTGCTTGGGTTATTAAAAGAATATGTATTGTCTATTGAACAAGAAATGATACTATAATAATCATAACAATAATAAACATAATTTCAGGCTTCATTTTGTGTTTAAACTCAAGTATAGTTGAACTCTTTTTCCCTCTATGGATATTTAAATTATTACTTTTCTCTGTATACCCCTGGGTCTTGTGATCTAGGAAAAACTCTCAGGATCGAAACCTGGATGTCATATTTGCTGGCTCCATTTCTGCCACTTGACAATTGTGTCTTCCTGCCACCTGAGCACCTCAGTGTTGCTTAAAATTTACTTTGAAGGGCTGGTGGAATGATTCAAGTGATAGAGCACCTACCTAGCAAGTGTGAGGCTCTGAGTTTAAATTCCAGTATAGCCAAAAAATGTACTTGGAGATAGAAGCATTACATAACATGGGTCTTCCTTCTATATGACTTTGGGGATGTTCTTTAACTTCTCTGTGTCTCAGTTTTCTCACTTTTAAAATGGGGATAATCATAGAACCCATGTCAGGGGCTGACATAAATCTTAAATAAATACATAAGGAGAACTTGAATCAGTGTCCAACACTCTGGGAAGTCAGTAAATAGTACCAATTCCAATCTATGTTGGAGCTGTGAGACCTCTTAGGGTGACCACAGTGATTATTGTGAGATGCAGATGATAGAATCTTATCAGGCCAGGGCTACAAGACCCTTAGAGAAAGCATGCATCTTACTGGGACCTGGCAGATTGGGACAGAGAAGGAAAAGAATTTGCCAGGTGTCACTCAGGAGTAGAGTGCAATGCAGAGGCAGGAGTGGAATGCAATCCTGTTGAAAGACAACTGTTTTTGAAAGGAGTTCTCTTAGTTGATGAAGTCTTCCAAAGATTAAAACATTTTCCTGGTGGAGGAGCATGGTCACAAAAAAAACCCAACGGAAGGCAGGGCTCTGTCCCTCAGGTGCAGGGAATGTCAACTCTCAGGGCAGGTTAGCTTTTAAATGTCTCCTTTTCTTGGCCCTGGGCATCCCAAAGGGTATGGTAAGAGAAGAGGTGCCAAGTACCCTTTCTCTGTCTCAGGTGTTCCCAGGATGCAGTGGCCGGGCAAGTGCTCTCAGAGTTCTTTACCAATAGGAAGGAGAACATTCCTCTCACATTTTCTGAAGACTGCCTCTACCTAAATATTTACACACCTGCCGACTTGACCAAGAGTAGCAGACTCCCGGTAAGCATGGGAACCACTTGTCAAAACTTGCCAATTCCATCATCTGGGATCACCAAGTGCAGACTGGGGGAGGGGAATAAAGGCAGTTTGGAGCAGGGGCACCAAGGTCCAGGAGCGATTCAGGGTCCCAGAGCTTCCTTTCACTACAGGAAGTGCAAGTTTTCTTTACCTCAGTTTCCCCCTGTGACACCAGGGGCCTGAGGAGACTCCAATGCCCCTGAATTTTCACTACCCCATAACAAATGTTGGGGGTGGAGACAATCAGGGTCAATCTCAAAAGTGCTTTTCTTGCATGAGGTGAATAATCTGAGTGGTTTTTTTAATAGCTCCTTTCCCTTCCTAATTTTTCTGACATAGGCTGATGACCCTGTGCCTCAGCATTTCCTATATAAATGAAAGGCCAGAGGTGATGCAGGCTGCCAGTTGCGGGCCAGAGGGTGTGTGTGTGTGTGTGTGTGTGTGTGTGTGTGTGTGTGTGTGTGCTGCAATACCTTGGCATGGAGCCCAGAAGTAAGGGCAGAGGTTGTGAACTTGGGACTGGAAGTTGGTCTTATAATTGCTTTGTGAGGCACAAAAGGGTGGGGTTTTACCTAGCCACTCATTCGTCTGTTTGTTGGGTACTCAGGGTCACTTATGCACATTCAGACTTTGGCATGGGCAAAAAAAGAACATGAGCCATTACCATACAACCCTTCCTTCCAGGACTTTGCCTTCTGGACTGCACAGATATTTGGTATCTTCAGCATGTCGCTGCCCACCTGCCCTTGGGCTCAGACCTCACTCAGAGATGACTTTGACTCAATCCCTAACTTGAGGTGGCAGGGTTCACAAGGAAGAAAAAACATGGGCTCTTGGAATTGGGAGGCAGGAGAACCTCCAGCTGTGGACACAGGTTCTAGAACTTCAGGGTTTGCTTTTAAATCTTGGATCTGCCATTGAGAGACTTGGGCAATTTCTTGCTTCACAGTCTCTGTTTCCTGAAATGGGAATAACTGCCTGTGAGTATCAGTAAAGACTATCAAGTTTTACCCCAGTCCTGGCTGTGCACACAAAGCAGCAATGATGACCCTAATGACAGCCACACAAGGACCCTCCTGCAAGGTTGGGCAACTTGGCACATGGGGTCTGGGGCCAGAAGGCCTGAGTCATATCCTGCCTCCATCACTTCATAGCTGTGGCACCTCAGGCAGGTGATGTGCCTCAGTTTCCAATCTGTCACTTGGGACAGAATTAATATCTATGTCATGGATAGGCTATTTCTAGTGCTTAGAACAACTGTTGCATAGTTCACATCATGAGTTGTCTTTTTATTAGAAATATTATCTCATTATTATTTTATCAACTCAGTTATTCCCTCCTATTTGAACTCTTTAAATTCAAGAATCATAAATTTTGAATTGTTGTGTCCATCCTCATCCTCAAGTCTTACCACAGCCCCTTGCAGGTGGTAGGCTCTCAGATAAGGCTATTCGAATGACTGAAGACCTCCTGGAAGAGGTGTATATGAACTGGGCTTTGAGTGGAGCAGGCTTTGGGCATATAAAGGAGGTAGAGGGAAGGGGAGGCAAATTAAGGAAGGGCCAGTGTTGGGTGCGTGTGTGCATCTTATGATAATCATTCACTCACATGGAAGTGTAATTCACCCCTGAAGAGTTAACTGAGATGAACCTGAAATCTAAGGACTGCTCCATGATTATGTTCAGCTGGCAGAATATTCCAGGCATGAGGATGGTGGGGGTATTGGAACAAACATGACATCCTTGGCTTTTTCTGTTCACCTGACAAAGTTCTCAGCTTGAAGTGTCCTGGCACATAGATCTAGGAGGAAGGTAGGGAATATTGAGTGGATGACATCTTGGGCCTAGCTGGGAGAGTTGTGGCAAAGTGAGATTGCATTGTGCAACCTTGCTGAGCACAGTCTGAATGACGACCTCCTTGAGTCACAGCCTAGATGTAGGCACCTAATTGAGACAACCTCTACAAGCTTCCTATTTCTGCTTCTTATAGCCTGTGTGTTATGTCTCCTTGTCAGGTGATGGTGTGGATCCATGGAGGTGGATTGGTGGTGGGTGGGGCATCAACCTATGATGGACTGGTCCTCTCTGCCCATGAAAGCGTGGTGGTTGTGACCATTCAGTACCGCCTGGGCATCTGGGGATTCTTCAGGTAAGCTGTTGGACCCTATTCTCTGTACATTAGTCCCTATATTGTTTGTTTTCTGTTTATATAACAAAATGCTTAAGACTCCACAATTATGAAGGAAACAAATTTATGTAGCTCATAATACTGAAGTCTGAAAGTCCAAGATTGGGTAGCTTCATCACAGGCCCTCTGGTCAGAGGCCCTTGGCTTTCTCAACACTTGGTGAAGAAACAGGGTATCTACACATGAGAACAGATCATATGGGGAGCAAAAAGCTAGGGTGAGAAATACTCTTGATCTTTCTAAAACAACTTACCCTCTTGGGTACTAACCAGCATCCCATGAGAATACCACTATTTTTTAAAGGGTTTATCCTTGAATGACCTAATCACATTGCTCTAGGCCTCACCTTGCAATTCTGCCAATTCTGTGCTCAATTCTGCCAAACTAGAGAACAGGACTCCAGGACTGAACCCTTGAGAAACAAACCACAGTCAGTCCACAGCAGCCATTACTACTCCTGGCTCTACACCTAATAAAATCCTTGTTTGTCTGGCCTGAATTATTGTTATATCCATTTACTTTTCTAAACTTGCTATTTTAAGGCTGTAGCTCTGCACAGTAGCCAATGCGCCCTCTGAGACATGTGGGCCCCTGCAGATTACCCCAGGTCATGCTCAATGACATAGCAGAACTTGCTAAGGCCCACAGCACAGCTCTTCCTACATCTCAAGTAGCTGCACTCATACTGCTATTCCTATGTCCCTTGGCCTTTGCATCTGCTGCTTTTCCTCACCTGAGTTCCCTTTTTGGGATACGTTTTTCAGGTTTCTACTCAATTTCCTGCTTCAAAGCCCTTCCCTGATCATGAGCTCTGAAACACCATCCCCAGCCCATCCCTGCTGTTTCTTTAGCTGACTGTGGCTCTTCACTAGTTGACACTATAGATCTGTTCATGGTCAGTAGTGTGAGGTAAGCGCAGTGGGAGATTTTGCCTATTTGGTCCAAATGTTCCAAGCTCTTCTTAGACCAGGATTGGATACAGTGGATCCTCAGTTCACAGTTATTGAAGCCCTACATAGGTCAAAACTTTAGGAATGCGAAGTGGGGGGAGACCCCTTTATCAGAGTTCAGAGGCCAGCCTTATTCTCAAAGACTCACTGAGAGCTCCCAGTCCACCTGTGGTCTTGAGAGTTCTGCCATGATAACTCTCCCCACACTCTGTTCTCTTGCAGCACAGGGGATGAGCACAGCCAGGGGAACTGGGGTCACTTGGATCAGGTGGCTGCACTGCGTTGGGTCCAGGACAACATTGCCCACTTTGGAGGGAACCCAGGTTCTGTGACCATTTTTGGAGAGTCAGCAGGAGGTGAAAGTGTCTCAGTTCTTGTAAGTGTTTTTGACACCAGGCCTTGATGTGTCTGATGATGGGGCCTCCCAGAGACTAGCCAATCCAGTCATGAGACCACTGCTTTCAAGACCTGGATTCAGGGTTGACTCCACTTACTGTGCAGCATCATATGATTCAGAGTCAAGACCCAAATCCTCTTTGGCCCTCAGGCCTGATGTGGCTGTTGATGGGACCTCCTGGAGGCAACCTATCCAGCTATGGAACCACTGCTTAAAAGACCTAGATTCAGGGTTGACCCCACTCACTGCACAACATCAGATGATGCAGAACCAAGGCCCAAACTCTTCTTGTACCCAGGAAGCCCAATATTCAGTTTTATGTTCTAGGGTCATAAGAATCCCCAACTCAGCCTGTGACCTTCCTCCTCTCCTTACTTGTTTAAGTCCTCTACTTTTGCTAATCAATTAAATATTGTAACCTACTTATCTTGGGAGGGAATGCTGGTTATAGACTACAAATAGCAATATGCAAGGATATGAGTTGGTTAAAGTGTCGTCATTTTGAATCTAAAGCAGATCTACATGTGAGGGGACTCAGGCACTGAAAGCTGGGGGAAGATGGGCTGATTGCTCATTCATGACCAAGAAGGAGAGCAACAGTCTGGGACTGAGTGTCAACATGGGCTAGGGGAGGTGGTGAGAAGAGGTATGAAAACTGGAATGAGGAGGGATGGAACAGGGGATGTTTGTCAAAGACACAACCTGGAAGTATGATGTGTCTTGCTGATGTAGAGATGGGGTTTGGGGAGGGACACTGAGGGTAGCTATAGAAGGTCCTGGGGCCATAAGTAACCCTCCAGCTACTCCAGAGTTGATCACAGGATCATCCAAATTACTGTATTTTTCAAACTTGTATTGGTATCATAGTTGAATTCTCAGAGGAATTGTTCATCTATCATTTTAAAGTAAAGAAAAAGGAAAAATATAGACAAACCTAGAAAAGAAAAATAAATCACCCATACCATTACAAGGAATAGTTTTAGGACCATTTCTGTGGTCTTTTCCTAAAATCTCTCTCTCTCTCTCTCTCTCTCTCTCATCTGTCTCATTAATCATTAATCCATCCACTCATCCATCCAAAACCTCTCCCCCTCTCTATTATGTATGTACAAAAATCATTTCATTAATATGCTAATGTAATATAAATAAATACTTCTGTAACCATTAAGCTGTCTTCTGTAACATTATCTTTTGTGATTGCACAGTATTCTGTGGTAAAATGAAGTATTAGTAACTTTTTCATTTTGGTGATGCTAGTGTATGAACTCAGTACCTTGAACTTCTTATAAGTACTCTACTGCTTGAGCCTCACACTGAGTTCTCTTTGCTTTAGTTGCTTTCAGTAAATTTTATTGCCACAATGGCCACTTGCCATACTCCTTGTTCTATCATTAACTCTCATCCCTGGCTCAATCATCCTGACATTTTCTTGGTGAACTCAGACCAGGGGGAACCTGGGATGCAGACGGGGACAAGTGAGGAGCTGTAATGTCCACAGAGCACCAGAGTCTTCAGGTGAACGTTAGGGCAGAGAAGCAGGTGGAGGGAGTCTTGAAGAGCAATGAGTCACTGCCCCTTTTGTGAGCATCAACTCTCCTCTTCTCTTCTCCTCTGCCAGGTGTTATCTCCTTTGGCCAAGAACCTCTTCCACAGGGCCATTTCTGAGAGTGGAGTGGCCCTCACTGCTCCTCTGATTAAGAAGGATGTCAAGCCCATAGCTGAGGTAAGTCTTACCCTGGTTGGCTTTGGTACCCCATTCCACTGCTCTCCTGGAATCTTCAGGGATCTTTCTTCCTGTGATTCAGCTGAGATGCTCAAGGGATCCCTGAGGCAACCATGGCTGAGCAGGAAAGCTCCTTTAGGGGTACATTAAACTCACATTCAAGTTCTTAATTGTCTTCTTGTGAATCATGTTCTTCAGACTTCCTGAAACTGTGTACAGGGTTTAGTGTAGGGGAGACATGGTAGCCTCCTAAGTATATCACATGCATTAAGTCTTCTAAGATAGGTGCAATAATCGCCCTCATCTATGTTTGGGGAAATAACCACAAAGAAGCAAGTAGCTTGCCTGGGGCCAAATATTTAGTAAGTGGAGGAGGTAATCCCATGAGAGTGGATACTAGATTTTAAACCTTTAACCTCAGTTCCAAATGGCCTATTTAGAACCATTCAATGTTGAGAACATTAAGCACTTGTTTTGTGGTGCTGGGCATAGGCAAGGTGCGTATTTTAAAGGACGTAAGCTAACAGACACACAGACATTGTATAATCTGCTAATGTCACAATCCCCATTATTAACAGACAACACTCTGGGGGACAGAGAACTCACACCTGCTGGCCTAGTATATTTTAAGTTGCCCACTTCTGTCTTTAGAAAGTGACACAGTGTATAACTCCTCTTTCTACATTTGATGGAGGGAAGGACATTGCTCTTGACCTCTGCTGTTGCCTGTGATATCTGCAGAAAGTTGCGATTACTGCTGGGTGTAAAACGACCACATCAGCTGTCATGGTTCACTGCCTGCGCCAGAAGACAGAGGATGAGCTCTTGGAGACCACGCTGAAACTGGTAAGTGCCTCTATTCGTAGGGACCTGTCTTGTGTACTTGGCCCCAGACTTCATCCTTTTAGCTATCCTCTGGCCCCAGACAAACTCCTTCTGACCCAAACTGAGATTTTAATTTTTCTTCTATTATTATATAATACCTGAAATGTAAAAACTCCAATAATAACATGACAAAAAACTGCACAACAGTCCTCCAGCTTTATTAAAAGTTCATATTTTGACATCTGTGTTTTAGTTTTATTTAATAAAAGGAAATACCATATTGTTAACAAGTAACTACCAACCTAAATTTTTGGGATGGATCTATTCAAGGCAAGAGTTTTCAGAAAGATGTCACAATCTATATTGGCTGGTACAGAAACTATTTGTTATAAAATGTGAGTAGCCATTGAGACATTGTCTCAATTAGGGCTCTAGGATAGCCATCTAGCTACCCATCCATTTATCTATCTCCTTCCTATTCATTCTTCCAACCATCCTTTTAATTAATACCCTATTGTTAATTATATGGATCCACCCATAACTTTCATTAATCTATTTTCAATGTGTTCATTATCCATGACTCTTCTATTCAACTTTTATGCATTCTCTTTCACCCAGTCCTCCAAAAGCAATGATCTGTTCTTCACCTACCTGCTAGTTTCATCTGTTTATCAATGTGTACATCCAACTCACTAATAATACTTACATTGTCCAACCCAAACCATCCATACATCCATCCATCCATCCACCATCCATCCACTCATCCATTCATTCATGCATAGATTGGAGAAGAAAAGGGAAGCAATGAAGGAATAAATTAAACATTGTCCCTGCTCAAAGAGAACTTTCTTGGGAAAAACACAGACATATACTCAGTGGGTTAAGTGTGGAAAGAGTAGAGAAGGGACATATTCATTACAACCAGCAGGGGCTGCTTCTCAGGAAAGGTGACATCTGAGAATTGATGGATGGTCACAACGGTCTGTATCATAGTGAAGCTCATCAGTCATCAGGACAAACACCCAAAGAAAAGAAGATCCAGGTCTTTGGGAACTACTGCTTTATAGGGAAGGTGTGAGTGTGAACTCAGGAGCTGCCTGAGCCCCCAGCCCCTCTATCTGGACTGTGAACAGTGGAAGGTAATTCTGGACCCAGGGCAGGCCTCTAACACTGTGTAACATGTGCACATCCATGGGTTTAATCAATGTAGTTCATCAGACTCAAAGGATATGACCAAGGTCTTTAAAGAATTAAGACACAGCTGTTTTCCAGTACATGGAAACATCCTATTTCAAGCATTTCCTATGTGGCACAGGAAGACCCAACATAAACAAGAATAGTTGGTGGCTTTAGAAAAACCCAGAGAACCTAAGAAAAATTCCAGGACATTCTTCTGAGATTTTCTGAGTTCTTGTGGAAATGCTTTCATGATTTTATACTGTCCCCATTACACACTCACACACACTCACTGACACTCAAATACACACACTCACATACACTCACACTCACTCACACACAAGCATACACTCACACACTCTCACATACACACTCACACTCACTCATTCACACACACACGCATCCCACACTTCTGGCCAGTAGGGCTACATTCCATAATGGGAGAAGGGGATCTCTAGATATAATTTCCAAACATAGATACAAAACCTAGCTGAAATGTAGCATTACAGTTACTGTAATCTTGGTGAGCACACTGCAAATAGAAGTAAGGGAAGAAGGAGTTTACATGGGCTTGCAGGAGTACAGATTTTCTAATACAAGATGAAAGAACCCATTTCAAGGTGCCTTGAAAAGAAACAAGAAAGAGTGGTACCAGAATCTTCAGGATCTGAAAGAGGTTAGGGTCTGTGGCTGGACTTGGATACTCTGAAGCTATTATTAAGATTGCATCTGATTCTATACATCACTTTCCCATTCTTCTGTGTGAAGCAGTTTTCCCCTCAGGAGGTTAACAACATCAGCACTCCAGATTTACACCCTATCTGTTTAGAAATGGACCTCCAAAAAATTTCAGCAACATTTTTGGACTGACCCTGCCATGATTTCACCAAGGTCTCCTTGATTGCAGTGTGGAAATAAACTGAAGGCAAGGGGTAAGGCAGGTGCAGAAAGCCCAGCCAGGTGGTCTCTGCCCTGTGTTTATCCAGGCTAAGATTCCTGTTGGACTAGTGAGATGGAGTTGAACTATTCTGTATGTTCAGGGACATGGTGACCTCACATGTAGTTGCTTGAACTCTGAAGTGGAATGAAGAGCAAATGGAGGAGAGGCAGGATGTCCTCTCCTGTGGATCCTTCCCACATTCAGCCTTGTCTCCTCTCAAAGCCTCTGCATCCCCAGCCATAACCTTTATATCATTCCATTTTTCACCAGAGGAAAACTGAGGTAATGTTGCCAGTGAAAACAAGTAGGGGGAAAGGAAAAAGAGAGGCCAGGCACAAACATCAGGCATTCTCTCTAGCACTCAGTGACTGTGACTCTGGGTCCCAGGGCCTGTCCCCTTGCTGGAGCTGCTCTTACATCCCAGTACACCTTGTGTTCCTGCCCAGTCGGACCCATGGAGTGTCCTCATACCATGGGCTTAGACAAGGAGAAACCATGATGTAGAACTTGCTCTGGGGCAGAGCTCAAGGCTCTGCTTTTATCCCAGAGAGCCTTCTCAGGACAACCTCTATCTTTGTCTTCACAGAATCTTTTTAAGCTTGATTTACTTGGAGATCCTAAAGAGGTAAGTACCTTTGCTTTCTTAATTACCAGGTTTTGAGTCTTAACATCTTCAAGCTCCAATTAACTGTGAATGAAAGAAAACTCCATTATGGGATCATAATAATTCCTTGTGTGTATATTACTAGTGATTGTTGAGGAGAACTATCATGACAGTTGACACATTAAGGAGAGCCAGAGACAAGATTGAATCCACTCTTCACTCCCATCCAGTTCTCCCAGTTGGCATCTTGTGTCCTCAGGGATTACCTCTCCTCTGTTACATTTCCTCTTCCCAAAATGGCTCTGTGGGAGGACATTGCAATAGAACTTTCCACTCTCAGGAAGCAGGGAGTAGGGGTTGAGGAGCCTTCATTGAGAAGAACATATCTCCCTGGAGGCTACACATCTGGTTTTCTGTATAGAGAAGGAGCCAAACATCTCAGTCCTGAGAATACCACTCTCTTCCCAGCACCCAGGGAACTCCCATGGCACCCTTCACCCTCTCCTCCCCCTTCTTACTTCCCACCACATGCCAGGGTCTGGCATCTGTGCAACATCTTAGATTCTGTATTCTCCACACCCTCCCTGGGGATCCCAGCACTTTCCTTACAGGACTTGTGAGGAAGAAAAAGGATTCTTCCAGCCATTCAGGAAAGTTTTGAGAAGCACTTACTATGGGTCAGGAACTGATTTAGCAGCTGGGATATGGCAGTAAAATAAACATGAGTACCTAAACTTTTGGAGCCTTTCTTCCCAGTAGGGGTGAGGAGAGTGGAGTAAAACAACCAAATATGTGGTTTGTTTCATGATGATCAGAATTAAGGTAAAAATGACATTGGCCAGTGGTTTGAATGTAAGCAGCAGGGTCCTAGATATCTGATGAGCAGAGCAACTAAGTCAAGCTCTAGAGGATGAAAGGAAGCAGCTATCAGGAGAACTGGAGGAACTGCTCTAGGAAGAGGGAAGAATAGCTCCAATGCCTTGATATAGGAGGCCAGTGTGTTTGGAGTACAGGCAGTGAGGGAGGAGCAGTTGAGGCTGAAGAGTTCACAGAGGGGAGGAGAGGTGTTATTACTGAAAGAAATTAGTTTGTGGTTCAGCACAAGATGGGGGAAATTCAGAGGGCTCTGGACAGAGCAGTGAAGAGCTCTTAGATTTTACAAAAGTCTCTTTGCATTGTGGAAATAGCTGTAGGGAAGGGGGAGGGTGATTGCAGAAGGTTTGGGGGGAGGCCATTTAACTACAGTAGTAATCCAGGACAGGCATTCTTGGGATTATATCAAGACTGAGCAGTGAGGTGGTGAGAAGTGTTTGAATCTCAACATTTTTGAAGGAGTAGCTGAAAGTACTTGATGACAGATAGGCGGTATAAAAAGAGTGGAGGTAAGAATGCCCTTGACTTCTCTTATCAAAAGACACAATGCCTATGTCCTGACAGTGCAGCCACTAGCATTCCTGAGTGGACCATGCCATGACTGTGGTTCCCATAGTTGCTGAGGTCAGAACCTACCTCAAGGATACTCCTCCATGTGAGCACTCACTCTCTGTCTTCTAGACTTTAATATTTTCTGTCTCCACTTTCTTCCTTCACTATTATACCCACTGGTATATAACACAAGTTAGAACCTGTCATCTGTCTTCTTAAAGTATGACAGTGCTTCCTTTGAGTTGGTCCTTGCAAACATCTCTGAGTGACTAAGTCGTGCCTACTATTGTAAACAAAACTGTCCTAAGGCACCTCTCCATGCCCAGGGTTCTTTAACGGTCTTGGGGTCAAGCCTGTAGAGTGACACCTCTGTTTCTTAGCTCATGTACTTCCCATTCTTGGGCAATCCTCACCCTTTTCTTCACCTTCCCATACTGTTCTTCCCAGAGCCCACTGCAAGGTCTATAGCACCTGGTTGTGCAGCCAGCCTGGGTCTTCCTTCAGATGAGCTTCTGTTGCCAACTCCCAGGACAGCCCTCTACACTGATCCTGTTCTCTGTTTTCAGCCTATTGCAGTACAACATGGCCCTTGTCTTCATCTTTTTTTCCTCTCAAGTACAAAATCAAGTCTCAGTTTAGGCACTGTGAGTGATGAGCCCCTTACCTCTCAAAGCAGACTAGGTAGCAAAAAGAGCTCAAGTTTAGCTAGACAAATACAGCTTACCCTCGTTAATTATGCATTCTACAGTTCCAAATTCACTTACATGCTGAAGTGTACTTACAACTCCAAAATCAATACTCATGAAATTCTTACGGTCATTTGTACTATATGCGCAGGGCAGCAAGCCACTTGAGTTCCACGATGTCCATGTTCCCCCCCTCTGAAGTCAGGAGGAAATCTCTGTCTTCTTGCTTCATCACTCATGCTCACAGTGCCCTCTTTTGGCCCACTGAGTGCCACATTCTGCCACTTATTTGCTGTTTGAAGTGATTTCTCTAATTCAGGCAGCTGTCAAGCATGGTGATGAAGAGTTGTCCAAGGTTCTCAAACACAGAGGCTGTGATATGCCTGTGCCTTGTGGAGAAAGTTCATGTGATAGAAGAGCCTCCTTCAGGCTTGAGTTATGATTTCCCTGGCCATCTAGTCAGTGTTGATGAGTCAACCACAGTACATTCAAATGAGAAAGAGGAGGTTTGCCTATCTGCAAGTGAGGCCGTTCTAGAGAGTGGCAATCTCATGGCTATGGTGTGTGATAAAGCTTTGGAAAAGATGGAAAGTAGCTAAATTTGTGAAGTCATGAGTTGTTGAATTTTAAAAGTTTTAGTGGTCAGCACGGTTATGAGCAGAAACCAAAGAAATGTAGTGCTATTATCCTAGGTGGGGAAATGTTAAGTTCTTCCCAGCTGTTGTTTTTAAACAGGAACTCACAATAAAATAAGGACTATGACAATATTATAACCAGATGTTCTCAGGAAACTAACTGTGGACTTCTCCTTGCAGCAATGCCTCAGTATTTAATAATTCAGCATTCACTGAAACTTTGCAGTCCTAACTACTATGAGGAAATGACCATATATATGTATATCTACAGTTGAGAGTTCAAATTGAAATAAATATTTTATATGGTATATAGTTCATTCAGTATTTACTAATTCAGCATTCCATGCAATGTTAGAGACATACCTTCTATGAAGAATTAAGAAACAACTGTGTGAGAATGTGTGTGTATCTCAAATATATATTTCAAATATATGTACTTCAAATTGAAATATGTATTTCGTATGGTATATTTTACATTGGGTAAGAATTTTGAACCTCCTTTCTCAACCATCACCACATACTACCTCCCCAGTCACAGTTTTACCCTTGGTGGACTCACAGACTTACCTCATGAACATGAGTTTCTGTGGCCACAGCCACAGCTGTTTGTGTGCTAGGCAAACCTTCAGACAGGCAGAGAGGGGAGAGTAGGTGTTATCAGAAGCCGTGTATTCTCAGATACTAGGTTTCTTTCTTCCCCAGAGCTATCCTTTCCTGCCCACTGTGATTGATGGAGTGTTTCTGCCAAAGACACCTGAGGAGATTCATGCTGAAAAGAATTTCAACACTGTCCCCTACATTGTGGGAATCAACAAACAAGAGTTTGGATGGCTTATTCCAATGGTGAGCTCACATGCCTCTTGGACAGGTGCACCCCACATGCACCTTCAATCATCTCCCTCTGACTTCTACATCCACTTGTTCTTTCTTCTCCACACCCACTCTGAGTCCAGTCAGCTGTCCCCTTTGTCACGATGGGCATTTTCATGGAAACAATCTCCAGAAAGGGCCAAATATCCCCTGAGTCATGCATCCCTGGTGACTCCTCTTCCCAAACACTCTTTGTTTTTTTCTTAAAGAATGCCAACATGTCTGGACTATGAGGGCCTGTAGAGATTAGAACTGTGCAAGTGGAAAATTTGAGGACATCTAGAAATGGGAAGGAACTGGGGATTCAGGGCAGTCCGATTGGAGCACAACAGTTTCCATCATGGATCTGGATTCATGGGTCCAGTAAATTTCTAAACTCTACATACACCATCACATGACTCATTGCAAACACTCAGAAGAAGTCACTTCTGCTTGGGTTAAAATTGCTTTTAAAAGAGAAGGGCTTTTCCTCTTCAAAGATAAGTAAGCTAGATACCAGGTAAAGCAATAGCATGGACTTATTCAGCAGTGGGATTTCAATAGGGAAAAGATCAAACTCAAGCTGAATTCAAATCCCTGACCTCAACAGCTGAAGAGGTTTCAAGGCTGGAGTGATCTCTGGAAGGCTTTGTGGAGTGAGGGGCAAGTCCATAGCCTTGGTTACTGACTTGGTTAGTCCACATATACCTATAGGAGAAGCTGACTTCTCTCTCCTCGTGACCAGAGGTAGAAGTGAGGGTTAAAGTAAGACCCTCACCTAAGTTAAGTCTTTATCCTTCCAGAGGGACTGGCAAGAGATCAAGAGTTATCTCCCCAAATGTTTGTATTTCAGAGAGGTTTAAGTGTTTCTGAGAATATTTGCTCTTAGGTCCTTGAGAAACACTTTGGTGCAGAGAAAGATTGATAATTACAAGCTTTCTGAAGAACTGATCTAAGAGGGTTTAGGGGCCAAACTGCCCATCAACAGGTTTTCTCCTGCCAATATTGACCTTTCTCAGGCAGACAGGGTAGGGGTCTTGAGTTATCCTAGGACAGGTCCTTAAGTGGCTGCAGCCATGCTGGAGTTAGGTCAAGTCTCTGAGTGCAAACGTTTAGAAGGTTTGGTATATAATGCTGAATTCTGCAAATCTCCCTTTAGAAGGATTTCATAGGGAAGGAAAGGAATGCAGTCATGTGGTTGATTTTAGTTCCTTCATCACTGGAGTCTGTGTGTTATAGCCTGTGTCTTCCATCCCTGGGCCCTCAGCTTCTACAGTGCCTTTAGCCTGAATGTTCCTAAACGATTCCTTGAACCTGAAGGACAATTGTGCCCCTACTCAGATAAAGAAATATATTTAAGGTGTCCTGTCTCCACTTCTTGAGTTTCTGTACATTAACCCATGTGTTTCACTGATTGTTTTTCAAATTTATGAAAGACATAAATGCTCATCAAGACCCAACAGAGAAACTTCATTCCACATTGTTTTGGTTGGTTGGTTTGTTTGACTCTTCCAGTTAATTTCCCATGATTCACAAATGATTAACCACTTTTTTAAACAGATGATGGGCTATCCACTCTCTGAAGGCAAATTGGACCAGAAGACGGCCACATCACTCTTGAGGAAGTCCTTCCCCATTGTTGTAAGAGTGGAGGGAATCCAGGGAGTTGGTTGTTAAACTAAGAAGAGTGGTGGGTTGCCCCAATCAAAGACCAATTCAACAGCAGGAAAAAAAATGGAATCTAGGATTCTGCTCCCATTTTTGGCCTTTCCCTGTTTATTAACCTAGTTTAAAAAACGTACATTTGGTAATAACCACTTAGAAACCCAATGACTCAAAGACAAGTTGTCGGAGAAAAATGCTTATTTGGAAAGCTAGCAAACCAAAGAAGATGGAGGGTATGGAATTCAAAGACCATCTCATCTGGGAGTGTCAGGTGCAAAGATTATATAGGGAATTATAAGGAGGCATATCCACTAGGTGGGCACCAGGGTAGTCATAAATTTTGTGTGGTCTGTCTTCTAACCTTCAGGGTCCTCTCATCTATAGTCATTGATTGTCTGGGTTTTGTAAATCTAAAGAAAAGTTACTGAGTAGAAAAACTTACGATTTGTACCTTTTTAATTCCTTTTCCTACGAATAGCTAATTCTCCAGTTACTTGTTAGGACACAAAAGACATCTTTTCTTTCAAGAACAGGTGAAGATAGCAAAAGGCTACTTTTCTCCTAGGACCAGGAGAGATTGAAAGAAGCAATTTTCTCCTGAGGAAAGGGGGAGATAACAATTCCTAGATATTATGCTAGGTGGCTTCAGTCAGAGGTATCTTTTCCAGCAAAACCAGAGGGAAACCAACAACATATTGCTCAGTTGTGTAATCTCCAAAATTAATAATTTTTAAAATATTCTTGTTAACATGTAAGGGTCTCATTGTGACATTTCCATATGTTTATAATGTACCTTAGTTAGATTTACCCCCTCTATTATTCTCCATTATCTCCATCACATCTTCTTAAAGCAATTTCCACAAGTTTCATTGTTGTATTTTTATAGAAGAATATAAAGTATAGCAACCATAATCTCCCTCTTTTGCCCGCTCCATTCACGTCCCTCTCACAAGTACCCACCTCTAAACAGAACCTGTTTGCCTTCCTGTACTTCATTTTTAAAAGTGCATATTCATTGTTCAAAGGAATTTCACAATGGTATTTCACACATGAACATATTGTACCTTAAGCAGATTGACCCCTTCTATTACTCTCTTTCCCTACCCCCTACTATTCAACAGCTTTCAGTATGCTTTGTTTTGCCATCGTCATAAATAGATGCAATGTATTTTGATATTTGCTTTCTATCATTATTTTTAATATAAACTAGAAGCAAGTGGAGTGAAATGGTTTGTTTAGGTCTTTGCCAAGTAACACCAGGATAGATTGACACAGAGCTCAAGAAGCTCACAGTCAACAAAGACCTTTTAAGTGTCTGGACAAGCCACCTTGCTCCAGATGGTGTGGTCACTTTCTTGATTCGTTTCAGAACATCTCTGAGGAAAAGATTCCAGTAGCCATTGAGAAATATTTAGGAGGGACAGACGACCTTTTCAAAAAGAAAGACCTGTTCCTGGACTTGATTGCAGATGTGATGTTTGGTGTTCCATCTGTGATTGTGTCCTGTGTCCACAGAGGTGAGTTCCAGGGTTGTACAGGAGAAGAACTCTGACTTACCAGCTCAGTTCAGACCTACCCACCTCCCGGCATAGGCCAATGTGGAAACTGCTAAGGGTCATGCCTCAAGGGCTAACGCCACATGAACTTGGGAAGAGTGCCATCCTGTTTGGTTTCTGCCAATGGGAATCTCTAAGGTAAAGATCCAAATGCAAGTTGTTAATTTAGTCAATGACCTCATAAAATATCTTTAGAGAAAGAGGTAGTAGTAACACAGGAATTAGTGGAGGCCAATCAATGGCACACTGCCATTGATCCACTGTGGACAACTGGGGCTAGGGAATTCTGGGAAATAAGCAGAGGACATGACTCAGTGTTATCTTCCTGAGAGGCAAGGGAACTGGGTATTTATCCTCCAACCAATCCCCACTTGCTATTAGTTGACTTGTTCCAAGGAGTTGTTAATTTTGTGGTTCTTATACTGCTGCAAACATGGATAGAGTCATTTCTAGTGACCAGAACAAATCTTGGGCAAAGCTATCAGTGGAGGTAGAAGTCAAGTTGGCCTACCCAGAAACAGGTGATATGAGTGAGGCACAGTATTGGTTACTTTTCTTGTCATGAGAAAGTATACCTGACATAAAAAAACTTAAGGGAGGAAGGATTTATTTTAACTCACAGTTCTATCCATCACGGCATGGAGATCAGCTCACATCATGGCAGCCAGGAATTAGAGGAAGTATAGAGGAGCAGCAAGGAAGAGACCAGGATAAGATATAGCAACAAAGATACACCCATAATGACCTACTTCCTCCAACCATACCCTACCTTACACACTTCCACCGCCTCCAAATAGTCTCTATCTGGCTTTGAACCACCATCCTCCAGACCTGCAACTCCCAAGTAGTGAATTATTGGGATTATAGAAGTATGTCATCACCCCCACCCCCTGTACTTGACTTATTTTAGTGTCAGAATAATGTTTCTTTCATAAAAGGAATTTAAAATGATTCCCTCTTCTTATTATTTTTGATGAAATTTGGGAAGAATTTGAGAAGGATAAATATTAGCTCATCTTTTTAATTTATGATAAAATTCATCAGTGAAGCCGTCAGAATCTGGAATTTTCTTCGATTAGAGATATTTTTAATCAGTGATTCAGTCTTCTTACTCAATATTGATCTGTTCCGATTATCTATTTTTTCTTGAATTAGTCTTCTTAGGTTGTTTTGGATTAGGAATTCATCCATTTCTTCTAGGCTATCTAATTTGTATACATACGATTGTTTGTTGTAGTTTCTGATGGTCATTTGTACCTCAGTGTTATCAATCGTAATGGCTCCTCTTTCATTTCTGATTTTATTTCTTTGAATCTTCTCTTGATATTCTCTTGGCTTTTCAATTTTGTTTGCATTTTCACAAAACAAACTCTTGGTTTTGTTCATCATTTTTTTATAATCTTCCATTTTTATTTCCTCGTTGACTCATAATTTGTTCAGGAGTATGTTATTTAATTTCCACGAATCTGTGAATTTTCCAAAATTCCTCCTGTTGTTGAAGATTAGAAACTTGCTATAATTTCAGTCATTTAAAATTAGCTGAGACTTGTTTTATATTCTATATATCATCAATTCTGGAGATGGTTCTGTAGAGGATTGAGAAGAATGTATATTCTGTTGGTGTTGGACAGAATATTTGGTACATTTCTGTTAGGTTCTACTGGTCCAAAGTGTTGTTTGAGTCCAACGGTTCATTCTGAATTTTGTCTCTACCCATAGGTGCAAGTGGGGTACTGAAGTCCACTTCTATTATTATATTGCAATCTATCTCTCACTTTAATATTTGTTTTATATATTTAGCTGCTCCAATACTGGTCATGTATAGATCTACAGTTGTTATATCCTCTTGCTAATTAAGACACGTAATGTCTTAATTTCTCTCTTTTTACAGTTTTGACTGATATAACTATAGCTCCCTCTTCTCACCATTGTTTTCTTTTGTGTATAATATCTCCATTTCCATCTCTTCACTATCAGTTTATGCATGTCTTTAGGTGAAGTGAGACTCTTATAGACAACTCTTGTTCTTTTAAATCAGTTCAGTCATTCTATGTCTTTATATTGGAGAATTCATATTGAATGCAACTATTGATAGGTAAAGATGTACTAATTCCATTTTATTAGCTGTTTTTCTGGTTGTCTTGTTAATATTTTGTTTCTTCCTTTTTTGGTGCCTTCCTTTCTGATTTGGTGGTTTTCTGTAGTAGTATGCTTTGAATCCTTTCTATTATTATTTTGTGCTTCTACTAAAGATTTTTGCTTTGTGGCTACCATGAAACACATAGAACATCTCATACTTAGCCTATTTTAAGATGATAACAACTTAAATTCGGTGGTATATAACAATTCTACACTTTTACCTCCCTCACACATACACTTCATGTATTTAGTGTATGAATCCACATCATTGTATAATGGCAATTCATTTTAGCTAAATAGTTGTTGATTTGTTTTAAGCATCATTATTACCAGTATTTAGGTCTTTTAACCCTTATACTAGTGATAAAATTACCTACACATTAAGACTACAGTTTAAACAATTATGAATATGGCTGTTGTATTTACATGATTAACTTTTCTGCTTTCATGTGTTTCATGTTATCCATTGGTATCATTTGGTTCAGCTGAACCATCTTTTTAACACTTTCTGTAGGACAGAGCTAGATGTGGTGAATTACACAAGCTTTTGTTTGTCTGGGAAAATTGTTATTTCTCCCTCAATCCTGAATACAGTATGCTGTGTGGGTAATTATTTTCTTTCATGTCAAATACATCATCCTACTCTCTCCTGGCTTGCAGAATTTCTTGTAATAAATTTGCTGATGTTATTTTAGCACAAATTTGCACATGATGTGTTTCTTATTTCTTGATGCTCCTGGCATTTTTCTTTGTTTTGGTTTTCAGTAGTTTGAATATTTTGTGCCTTGGTTGAAATTGATTGGAGATCTCTGCACTTCCTGTACCAAAGTTTTAGTATCTATCCAAGATTAGGGAATTTTCATCCCTAATTTCTTAATATATTCTTTCTGACCCCTTTCTTCTTTTGCAACTCCTGTTATGCAAATGTTTCATCTGTTGATGGTGTCCTAAGTCTCTGCTGTTCTTGTTGCTACTTGTAATGACCCAAATTTGTGTCCTACTTTCCTTTCAAGACTTTTATTGTGTACTAAGATGCTATAAATCTCAGTAGTTTTAGGAAAAAAGTTTTAAAACATCTTGGGTATCATGCTGCCTAAAAGAAGTTATCTCATTAACAGAAGTTCTTTGTGCTACAGCTGGGGTCTGAATTCCTTTCTATAATTATTGAGTTGCAGAGGCTAGGTTAAAACTTCCTTTCCACAAGTTTTGCTGGACTCTGAAGTACCTACTTAATATGAGAATTACAGAACCACACAAGATTGCTTCTAAGGGTGCAGTCTTGGGGTCTCCAGGAGATAATTCAGTAAATTATTTCTTATCCTCATGCTGGATGACAATTACTGTTAAAACTTTTGTGGATGGACATCTAATGGTCTGAACTAATGATAATAGTGTATTAAAAACAACATACAATATTATCTCAATTTTATAAATAAAAGGTGTATTGCTAAAATATAGAAGAAGCTTTCTCTGAATGGTGAGTTTATGAGTGTGGTATATATATTTTTCCTGTTTCTTAATGTTTCAGTTTTCTTACTATATTGATGGGAAGGCTTGTAAAAGTTCTATATGGGTATGTCCTGGCCTCAGCTCTCTTAGAGACACTCTAAGAGTGTCCTCTCTGGACAATATGATCTTTGAAAGTACTGAGGTCCCAAGGCTACGATGCCCATGGTTCAGTTCATAAGGAGGAGGGATTGGTGGCTCTGATAATCCAATCAGTTGGAAAAGTGTCATCTTGGGACTTGGGCAGGTAGCCTTGGTGGTGACAGGAAGTCAGAACAGAGGAGGACAGAGGTCAAAAAGGAGGCAAATTTACTCATCTCCCCCTCTCTTTTCTGCTACCATCTTATCACCTTAAGTTGTTAACACTCCCTGAACCACGCAGGAGGCAGGATATGTGAGGTGACAAAAATGTGAACCTTGAATTTTGTGGTTTCCTGAAACACAAGAGACAGATTGTGCCATCTCTTCATATATAGGCATTTGAATATCCTCATTTTAAGCAGCTTAGAATTGCTTCTCTGAAGTACTAGCAATGCTCAAAACCAGACTAAATGGAGAACCATAACTATATATAGTTACATATATAGTTATAGATATATGAATATCTATAACTATCAGGTTATAGATATTCTTGAAATAAATGAGAACATGTAAGTTATAAATGAAACATTCACTACATTTATGGTATTCATTCATTCTTCATTAAATAAACTTCAATTTCAAACCCAATTACAATTTAATTAGCTACACAGTTGTAAACAAATCACTGGGCATTCCTGAAACTCTGTTTTTGTCCTGTGTGGGTAACCAAGGGTGTCTTGCAGGACTAGAAACCTTGATACTATCCAGGTGTGTGTCTGGTAACATGAACTGTGCATGAAACCATGTCTTCTTAGATGCTGGAGCCCCCACCTACATGTATGAGTTTCAGTATCGCCCAAGCTTCTCATCAGACCTGAGACCCAAGACAGTGATAGCAGACCATGGGGATGAGCTCTTCTCAGTGTTTGGTGCACCATTTTTGAAAGGTAATATCTCTTTGCTGGTTGTGAGTTAGAGTTAGGAGTCCTGGAATCCAGTCTTGGTTTGATGGCCTTGTTCAATTTTCTCCTTCTCCTGATCTCTGTTTTCTGATTCCCTATAACAGGGCTGAGCTACAATGGGCAGTCCCCACCCCATCTCCAGCTCTAACATGCATGAAGAAGGATATGTATTCCTGTGCACTGAGCCATTGTCACTCCCAGAAACCTGACCTATGAAATCACTAGATAGGTGCTGGGTCACCTGCAGGGTTTGCTCCAAGACAATAATGCTTGATTTCCCACTCCTAAGATCCCACCAGGATGTGAATGAGGGGAAAGTTAGAATTTTGATAACCTTGTATTTGAGTATCATATGAATCCTTCCTTGTATCTGACTACATATCTAAAACTCATATTTTAAACTGTAATTAACTCAATAATATGATAAGTTTTTTAGTTCTCAGGAGTTGAATGTGACTTTCAACCCTGCTTCTGTCTGTTTGTGACACATCAGTCCCTCTGGTGGCATCCCAGTTGGATGACTCCATAGAACATTTGAAATTCTGATAATTTTCAGACTCTAATGGCACTGGTGTGTTTTTGAGATTGAAAAAAAGACCCAGAAACAATAAATCCTCCAAAACATGGGATACTCTAGGGTGTGGCATGTAGACCATGAGTAGCAAGGGTTGGGTATATGATCGTGGAAACAAAGGCAGGCAACTCATGGATGGACTGAGTGCCTACTGCTGATTCCAGGATCAACCATTCTCAACTTCAAAATGTGCACCAGCAAACAAGTATCATCTTACAATACAGTACTCCCAGTAGGTGTGGAATCTCACCATTTCTAAAAAGCTCCAAAATGATACTGATGCTGCTGGTCTGTGAACCTCACCATGAGCAGCAAATCATTTCTCCTTCTGTCCCATAGATGGTGCCTCAGAAGAGGAGATGAACCTCAGCAAGATGGTGATGAAATTCTGGGCCAACTTTGCTCGGACTGGGTAAGGCTGCTGGCAAAGATGGAGCTGGGATGGTGGATGGGGTGTAGTGGCATACCCATTGAGAAGGGGTAGCTTCTAGAGTTGGAGCAATCAAACTGATCTTGAGTGTGACCATAGTGCTATGACATTGCAAGCTCTCTAAAAATGAGTATTCTGTCTCAGAAGACAGAGATCTCCTTATTTGTTGCTATGCATAGCACTCTGGGCAGAAATAAGCCAAGAATCCCTCAAATTGAAAAGAAATGTGGGAGCCACACTACAGCTTTGGGGGATATCTTTTTTATTCTGTTGCTAGGAATCCCAATGGGAAGGGGCTGCCCCATTGGCCACAATACGACCAGAAGGAAGGATACCTAGAGATTGGTACCACTACTCAGGCAGCTGAGAAGCTGAAAGACAAGGAAGTGGCTTTTTGGACTGAGCTTCTGACCAAGAAGTCACCAGAGATTGAGCACACGGAGCTGTGAATGGGAGGCCTGACCACTTTGGGAGACCAGAGGATTCAAGAAAAGCATATTCTACAGAAGTTATCTGTAGGCCAAAGAGGCATCTTATTGTGGAGGCTGGAGAATTGTGTGGTGGGGATGGGCAGAGGCAAGGGAGGGAAAATGTTTGAACTGTGGCCTCAATTTGTTAAATAAAGGTTCCTTTGGAGAACAAAATCAGTGTCTGTGGCTCACGCTGGAGTTGAATCCACCCTCCTCAGAGAGAGAAGTATGAGGCACCATCATAGGAGGATGACTGTAGGTGGTATCTTTGTGAATGAGAAACTGAAACCTAAAGGAAGACAAGACCTTTGCAAGACAGGTGGGATGTGAGCACTGGCTCCACTCCCCTCCAGGTAGAAGACATCATCATATGTGTGAGGACAATGATTCTGAAAATGTGCTAAAGTTCTAAATGCCCTGGGATGGTCAGTCTGAGAGCATAAAATCCCTGAAATCCTCAAACACAAGGCACATTTACACCCATCACAGTCTCTTCCCCATGGATGTAAGCCTGTTGCTCATGAGAAAATTTTATGGGCAGGTAGTAAGAACATAGAAAGACTATCTCTAGCAGTGTAGGCATGAATCCCTGCTTGGAATATTTACCAAAATGAATAAAATTTTTCAACCATTAGGGCCATGACAGCAATATTTCTTTCCCTCAAACCCAGGTGAAAACCTACTGAGGCTGAAAAAACAGAAAAATTTTAAGATCTGTGCTTCTGAGTGTTAACGTGAAACTGTCCTGGGCAGAGATCACTAGCAGTCTTTTACTGTGGAGAGGAACAAGGTCAGAGAGAAAGCCCATGTCCAATATTCAGGAACACAAGATTTCTTGTTTTTTGTTTGAGGATGAACCAGGATTATAGAAGTCACTTGTAGATGCGATCATTGATTCAGCAGGTACCAGTTGGAGGAGAGCCTCTATGAAGGGCAGGTGCATAGGGAAGGCCCAAAAATGAAGGTGGAAAAAGACATTAAGAAAACCCTTCAGAAATCAGACCCCACACAAACATGCTAGACAAGCACATGCTGAAGGTAACACTAGGTGAATTTGAAGGAGGGGCACACTTAAGACATCCAAGCAACAGCAAAGCATAACCTATTGACTCAAATCCCCAACACACACACACACAAAGAGAGAGAGAGAGAGAGAGAGAGAGAGCAATACATGCATACTCTATCAGAATAACAGAATGAAATGTATGCCATAGCTACTCTTAAGCACTATTTACTTCAGTTTCTAATCTGCTACATATAATATCAAGTGTTAGACAAAATATTGCAAACACAAAGAAGGAATAAAACTAACAAGAGACAAAGCACTCATCAGAGCTAGATTCAGAAATAACCCTGGTGATAGAACAAACTGGGAATATAAAATAACTGTAGAGAAAACTCACATGAATGTGTGGCTATTTTCATCAGAGACAGAAACTATAACAAAGAAGCAGAGTCTAAGATCACTGCTCTGGGAGTCAAAGATCCCTGTTTTCCTGGTCTATGAATCTGCAGCCACTATTTATTCACTGACTCAGGAAGAGTTCGCCTTGCCTATGAGGAAATCCTCTGAAACAGAACTGCTGAGAGCTGTACCTGGTAGGAAACCAGTCTATAATGAGTAAGAAAGGTTGCTTTCACTTTAAGACCAGCAGCTGGAGCAAAGCAAGGGGTCTCATGTGATTAAGCTGGAAGGTAAGTAGTATCAGGAGGTGGAGGGCATGTGAAGCCTGCGCCTGTCTGTCCCTTCAATGCTAATAGTTGTGATCCCAGAGCGTCTCCTATTTTTCCCCACCACCCATCATCAGCAGGCAAAACAAAAAGGAGCCAGAAACTCTGATGCACTGCTGCCACCAGTGATTAGCCTCAGCTGTGCCCTAGAACTGCATAGTGAAAATCAATCCTGGGGTAAATCTCTGCCTGCCCCAGTCCCAGCTGTCACTGAAGGTTCCCTGAAAGGTGGCACATTGGCTCCACTCACAAACTACACCTACTGGCCTGTGGGGAGCAAGACTGAGGAAGGAAGAAAAGAGTGAAAAACCTCAGCCTGTGCTCTATAATGAGCAATGAGATTAAAGCATAATAAGACATTTCCTAACAAAGAAAGCCCAGGACTAGATGGATTCACTACTCAATTCTACCAGACCTTTAAGGAAGAACTAACACCAAGGTAAGGTGATTCGATCCTCTGTGCCAATCCTGGACGTAAACCCAACAGAATCTAAGTCAGCATACATTAGGAGTGCCTTCACATCTATGTTTATTGTAGCACAATAACAAAGATACAGAATCAGCCCATGTGCCCACAAACAGATAAATAAAATAAAGTGTGTATACATATATGTAAATATAGTGTGTGTGTGTGTGTGTGTGTGTGTGTGTGTGTGTAATGGAGAATAATTCAGCCATAAAGAAGAATGAAATCATGTCATTTGCAGGAAAATGAATAGAAATGGAACTGGAGATGACCATGTTAAGGAAAATAAAGCAGACACTGAAAGAAAAGAATCACCTTTTATATGTGGAAATTTAAAAAAAAAGAACAACAGCATACATGTCTAGAAATATAATGAGAAAATACTGAAGATAACCATAGGGAAAAAAGACATTGCATACAGAGCAAGAAGAAAATATAATTTTTACCACCTTTTTTAGATTTTATTTTATGGTATTCTACATTATTTTTAATCTTTATTGAAGGATAATATACAAAATACCTGCACATTAGTATATTAAATTTGATGAGTTTGGGCATAATTTGTGATATATCATCACAATGAAAATAATAAATATATCCATGTCAATTGTACTTACCACAACACGCGTGCACACAGGGACTTGAGGAAATGTTGGGAAGTACTGTATGGATAGGGATGAATCTATGAAAGGTAGTTTTAACCTGTTAAAGTACATACTGGGGACACAATCCCACTTAGTCATGCTATCCCACTTAGCACACTCCTTTTCATATGTTGTTGGATTCAGCTTCTAGTGTTATATTAAAGATTTCACTGTCCACAGTCAAGAGGGACACTGTTACGTAGCTTTCTTTTCCTGCCATGCTGCTGAGTGGTTATTGTGATGCTTCTGTGTGACCTGTGGCATGAATTGGGAAGTGTTCTCTTCTATTATTTACTGCTGTTTTGCATGTGTCTGTAAGGATTGTATTAATTTTTCAGCAAAAATCTGCAGAATGTATCAGTGATTCATTCATTTTTTGCATGAAGATTTTTAATTATCTTAGTCTGTTTACTTGTTACAAGTTAATTAACATATTCTATTTCTTCATGAATTTTTTTAAAAAATTTTATCTTTATATGGATTTGTTTATAATGTATTCATGTTTCTAAATTGGTATTAAATATGGTGAAAAGGAAAATAACACTGATGAATTGTAGATTTAGAGGATGAGTAAGAGCAAAATATGTAATGAATATGACAAAAGTAATTTGAAAGATAGAAATTTAAAGTACACCATTGTAAGTTTCTTGTAATTGATACTACATTGTTTGAGGATATAATGGGATTATTTAAATATGGATATTGAATACCCAGAACAACCACTACAGACTTTTCAAAAAATCTGAATAATAACCCAATAGCGATGGTTATTAATTATTTAGGAGGTTGCTGTTGATGTTTTGGGGTTCTTTATATATTATTGATATCGACCTCTTGTCAGATGTTTAGGTTGCAAATATTTTCTTCCACTCTCTAGGTTGCCTCTGCACTCTGTTGACTGTTTCCTTTTATGCTTGGTGTAATCCCATTTATCCATTCTTTGGATAAATGGTGCATGTGGATAAAGCACAGAAGTGCTTTTGTTTCCTGCACTTTTAGCATTCTGACCATGACAGTGTCCTGAAGCATTTCCCTATGTTTTCTTCCAGCAGTTTCACAGTCGTACAGTCTTACAGTCAAGGTTTTCATTCATTTTGAGTTGAGCTTTGTGGCTGAGGGAAAATAGGGGTCTACTTTGTTCTTCTGCAAGTGTATATCCAATTTTTTCAACATCGTTTTTTGAAATGCCTGCCCTTTCCCTGATGCATGCTATTAGAACCTTTGTTGAAACTCAGTTGTCCGTAGATACAAGTTTATTTTTAAAGTTTCCAATCTAAGTCCTTTTTATGTCAGTACCATGCTGCTTGGTTGCCGAAGCTGCAGTGTCTTGTTAAGTCTGATAGTGCAATGTCTTCTGCTTTGTTCTGTTTTGCTCAAAATGCTTTTAACATGCAGGGTTCTTTGTGGTTTCATATAAATCTTAGAATACTTTTCTACTCCTGTGAAAAACATCATTGATTTTTAATAGGTGTTTGAATCTGTAAATTGCTGTTACTTATTTAGTCTCTGTTTGTATGAGAGTCCCCTTGTTAGTATTATTACTCTCAAGTCTATTCCTCATTTAAGTCTATCAATGCTTGCTTTATATATTTGGGTGTTCTGATATTGGGAGTATATATGGAAATTGTTATTTCCTCTTGCTGAATTTATCCTTTTGTCATTGTAAAATAACCTTCTTTGTCTCTTTTTACTTCTCATTTAAAAATTATTTTATATGATATTAGAACTGATACTCCTTTTTTTCAATTCCATTCATACGTATTATTTCATTTCTTCACTTCCTGTCTGTGTATGTCCTTAGATGTGAAGTTGCTTCTTATAAGAAACACATAGTTGTGTCTTGAAAACTCTCCAACTTTGTTCCATTCCTCCCCACAGTTTCAATTTTTGTATCACATTTCACATTTCTTTATTGGCTGTTGCTTACTATCAATGTAGTTATTGTTAATTTAACTATGTTATTTTTTAGTTTTCATACTAAAACTATGAATGACTTACACACCACATTTACAATATTAGAGCACCTTGAGTTTGTATAATTACTCTTACTAGTGAGTTTTATGCTTTTCCATTTTTTTCTTCTTCTTCATTCACATTTCTTTCTTTCAATTTGAAGAACTCACTTTTATATTTCTTCTAGGACAGGTCTGTGGAGATATAATTTCTCAGCTGTTGTTTGCCTGGGAAGGTTA